TTCCACAATCGATCTTCCAGAGTTTGATTTAGCGAGTCTAGTTAAGACTTGCTAAATCAAACTCAGAGGACACCCCCGCCAGTGTCCAGTACTCCTGCGAGGAGTAAGTGAAGCCAATGGGAGCATTCGTTCACTGTGTGGACATGGCCAGACTTGGCTTAAGGTAAGCCCACTCTACCTATGTATTCTGCATAAGTGGAGTTGTGTACCTTAAGCCAAGCTGCCGGGTCTCATGCTCCTGGCCTTGCTTACAAAATCCGACCCAAAAATCCAGAAATGACACAGGCCACTCTTTGACCAATTGCTCCCTTTCTCCTTTTTAACCGGATAATTCCACAGTAAATCAGTTGCAATAGAAAAACCGCACTTACATTTCAGAGCCTAGAGCACTGGCTTATAAGTCACCATCTAAATCAAATTGTAGCTTGTATGGACTTTGCCAGTCAGCACCACCCTCCGCAGACCCCGGGGGTACGTGTACCTCTTGCTGAGAACCACTGGCCTATTGGGAGTGGAATACCCGCACCGGACCAGGTCGCAGAGTTTCCGCTTTAGCTCCAGCCTTCGGGTCCTGTGCTTTTGAACCAGAGGACTCGGTATTTGCTCCCACTGGCCTCCCGCAGTGGGGAACCTCAAAACAAGATACAGCGACTCCAGCTATGTAATGAACCTGGCTGGAGTTGTGGATCTTGATTCCATCTTCCCCTTTAGCGTAGGCCTGGCCTTAAGTTACAACTACTGAAGTGTTGAGTCCAACAAAACCAGGACCCACACGAACAAGCTCCAGGCGGGTTTCTTCTTTCGGATCAAGCCCTGCAGCCTGAAATGCAGCTTACTGCAGGAAACATGTTTCCAGCCAGAGTATTTAGGCACGTGGGCAGAACGCGTCTTGCTTGCATTTCCAAGGAGAAGAACACGGCCAGGAAAGCAGTACAATCAAACGGGCTTCAAGTCCCAGCTGTTCCTGGCTTGGAAGCCACCAGGATGCTGGTGTCCCAAGACCAGGCATTAATATTGTGCAAACTCCTGCCAGGCAATGCCAACGGGAGAGCAGCTGAGAATGGCTCATTCAGTGAAGCCTTCATTTTTCTTCCCTTACATGGGAACTTACAAGTTCCACTAGCAATATGGGCAGCAACATAAGCTCAGCCTCAGGTCTTTGGAGTGAGCCTCATACCACCAGGTGTGCAGGTGGAACAGGAACAGGAAATCCCAGAGGACGCTGGGGAGTCCTAACATTTACAGCAGCCGCCGACGCCCGTGTTACTCCAACGTCGCTTTGCTCACCATTAAGAGACGAGCATTTGCCAACAGCGAGGGTTGAGGTTGGGCACCCAAGAAAATGAATAGGCAGTAGGTTGAAAGGGACCAAATGAAAGTATTTCTTCACACAACACACTGCCAACCTGTGGAACTCCTTGCTAGGGGACGTCGTGAAGGCCAAAAGTACAAATGAGTTCGAAAAAGAAGTTCATGGAGGAAAGGTCCATCAATGGCTATTAGCTAAGAGGGGCAAGGAAACAACCCCAAGCTCTGGGTGTCCCTAAAACTCTTGACAGCCTAAAGCTGGGCCAGAATGAGAGGATGGATCACTCAGTAACTGCCCTGTTCTGTTCATTCCCTCTGACGCATCGGGCAGGATACTGGGCTAGATGGACCAGCGGCTTGACCCAGAGTGGCCTCATTCCTAACTATGGCAATTGGGGGGCGCCTGTTGACAAACGCTGGCCTCTCAACGGCAGCCACTGCTCATGTCGTTGACCTACTGACAAAGGGACGACCCTGGGGCTTAATTCAAACATCACTCGTCCACACGGAGAAGGGGCAACATCGTTCCACATCTGCTCACAGCCTGGAGCCACTAAGCCCCCCGGTGCCGGTGGGGTGGGCACCTTCCTGTTTAGACTTAGGAGACTATTAAGATGCACTTGCCAGATGCCACAAAGGCCCTTGAAATGTCATCCCACCTATGGAACAGAAACCAGCCACAAACGCCAGCAAAATACTGGAGATCCCAGCTCACCGACCGGAGGATACTCCGCCCGGCTCTGGCAAAGCCACCCAAAGAAACGGCCCATTCCTCGGAAGTCCCCACGCCAGCCCGGTACCAGGCAGTTTTCCCGTCTCCGAGGGCCGACCGACGCCCAGTGCTGACCTGAGAAGTGAAGTCGTGCTGCTGGAGCTGTCTTCCTTCCCTAAGGTCCCAGGAACGCACGGTGTTGTCCAGACCACCCGTCCATAATTTTGTCCCATCGTGGGAGATATCTATGCAGCTTGCCCCATCTGTGTGGCCTTGGAATTGTCTAGGAGGCAAAAATCCAACACACAAGAGGAAGGCTTTAGAATCTCTTTTTTTTTTTTTGGTAAACCCACCATCACCACACATTTGTGTCTCGCAACATGGGTGTCCCTCTGAGTTACATTCAGGGATCCAAGTCTCTACAATTGGTCTGAGGTCGAGACACTTGCTGGCACGGAAGCTGGATCCCATGTTTATATAAGGGAGATTGCTTGTGTTAGACAAATCAGTGTAACAAATTTAGTTGTACAAGTTCCAGTCTGTTCTACAGGCTGAGGACGGGTAGGGGCTTAACTGGGGGACAAAGTCGTCTTGCTTCCCCGAGTTCTTTCCACACAAAAAAGTCAACTTCCCCCAGGTCTCTGAGCAGACATTCCAGGCGCGGACAATTCCACCGGTCTGCACTCAGTTCCCATTTTGCAAGGTTTGCTTGGCAATCCTTAAACTCAACTCATTTGCTTTTTCCAACGAAAAGCCGAGAGGTGAGAACAAGAAGGCAGCTGGAGAAACAGGCCCCGTTTGAGTGCAGATCTCTAGTTGTACGTTGCCCCTGTAATCTAACAGGATTTACTTTCCCTTATCACCAGGCTGCCTGCCAGCTGTCTTCAGGTACAGCCCAAGACGGTCCAACAAACTCCTGTTCTGGTATGAAAAGCGCAGCCTTCCCATCGCCGACCTCACCGACTTCCCCCACCGACGGCCCGGCCACAGCCCGGCCCGCAGACTCACCTCACCAGCGTTTGGTTGTGCAGATCCCACACCGCAATGTTGCCGTCGCTGCAACAGGAGAAGCAGACTTTTGCATCCGGGCTGATGGCCAGGGCGTAGCACGCTGGCGCAGAGGAGGTCAGTTCAGCCTTGATCCGCGGCGTGGGCGAAGCCAGGTCCCAGATGGTCAGCGTGCTCGCTTCGCCTCCCACAATCAGCGTGCGGCCGTCCGGGAGCAGCTTGCAGGAGCGGATGTAGTTGTCTCGGTTCTAAAGGAAGACGAGACGGCGCTAGACTTTAATGCCTTGTCCAACGCCTCTTGCAACAGGCCCGGGGACAGCGAGCGAAACCCTCTCTCCGTGGTCAGCACCAGAAGGCCGACTACGGTTCTGAAGGTACCCTGAACGGATCGGATTAGCAAGAGCACGTCCGTGAGAAACGCACCAGCCACGGGACCATGCTGTCAGGCACTTACCAAGCAATCCAGCTGTGAAATGGGACTTTTGCTGCCCGGCTGGCTGATATCCCAGATCTTCACACAGCCCTTTCCTCCGGTGTACACGTGCCGGGTCGGGTTGCTAATGGTCACGGCACAGACCACCTCCCCGTGGCTCAGCGTGTTGATCTGGCGAGCGTGCCTGGGGATGCCGGGGCCAGCAAGCGCGTCGTGGGGGAAGGGGACCGGCTGCATCTGCCCGTCTGCGCTGACGTGAAACGAGTAGGCGCTACAGGGGGAGGACGAAGGCAGAGGAGGGGTTACTCCGGGAGAGAAGCTGACACATGGCACAGAGGGACCAGCTGCGGAAAAATCCGCAGGCGTCGGATAGATGCTTGGCTGTCTGGGCTGCCAGCCACATGGCCCGGCAAGGCGGACAGCAGGTCAAACTCTCTTTCCCAGGGCGAGCCGAGACAACGAGCGCATCCGTCAAACACGGCTGGGATGTCGAGGGGACCAAAGAGACCAGACTAGCCGGTCCCCTCATGGCTGTGGCACGTAGGAATCTGAGACGGCCCCTGCTGCTTGCACACAGAGCCAGCCAGAAGCCCGCTTCTCTCAACGCCGTGCCCGTCTGTCCCGGGCACAAGGCAGGCAGCCTGTGGCCCAGGAAACGGGACGACAGGCACGCAGAGGAGTCAAGCGGCGTGGAAGTGGCGGCAGGGGAGGGAGCCAACGCCCGTCACACAGCAGAGGAAGGGAACGGGTGGCTTACGGTTTCCCGCCGGGAATGGACGCGAGGCTCGTGGGGAGACCAGGGCCCCTCATGGGCGGATGTGGGTCAAAGCCGACCTGTGGAAAGAGACACAAAACGCCCTCAGACACCGGCCGCCGAACGAAAACGCCCCACGTCGCGCAGCCCGACGCGCACGCCAGCTTCCATCCGGCGCTGGAGCACGTGGGGAAACGGGGGAGCGTGGGTTTGCAGGTCACATCTTTCCTTGTGCCCCTCAGCGAGGCAATTACCGAGAATAATTCCACAGTGATTGGTGCTTGGCTCTAGAAATCCAGTGGGAACAGGGGCTCTGTAACGTCCTCCGGCAAGGAACCCCACGGCCACAGCCATACTCTGCCAACCCCCCTACCGGAGAACATGCTCGTTCTAACTGGGGTGCGGCACCATGAGAACGGACCCTCCTAGCACCACCTGAAACCTCAGAACGGGGCCTGTGCTTGAAGCATTGAGGCACCCCTGCGAGCAGACCCCAGGGCCGGCTGGGGGTGCCAGGAGC